CCTGCTCTGCTCTGCATGCTCGCAGGCAGACTAAGGAGAAGCAGAAAGATCCCACGTGGCAGCCCCAGGCCAGTGTCAGCCCAGTCAGCAGAGATCTGGAATCTGACAGCTGGAGAATTTCTGTTTGGTGAGAACTCAGAGGGAGGGGGCCATACACCGGGAGGGAGGTCTGGTTCTGGGAGATGCCTCCCACTGTCATCCATATATGACTCAGGGGCATCTGCTGTGACCCCCTAGAGGTGCCTCTCCAGGGCGATCATCCCACCCAGGATGCCTATGCCAGCGGCAGACCGTGAGAGAAGGAATGTCGGTCCTGCAGGAAGACTGTAGCGGGGATGGGAGCAGCCAGGCCCTCGACCACCCCCTGGGTGACCCGAAGGGCTGCGTCTCCAGGGTCCATGGTCTCAGTGCCCAGACAGTGCTGGTTCCAGAGACCAGAAAGCCACCTGCTGGGAGGATGGGGGTGGGGGTTCTGGCCTCCAACAGCTGTAGAACCCCCACAGTCTGCAGAGGGCATGGCTGGAGGCAACTTGGGAACTGAAAGACCTGACAAGTTCCCGCTCCTTCTAAGTGCACCTGAAGGGAGATGCAAGTTTTACATCCCAACACAACGCACACACATAAGTGCATTTATAAAGTTAAAACACAAGTTTATGGAACCATGTTACTCTCCCAATGTGTGATGTCTTTATTCTGTTCAACAATTATTATTTTTCTTAAATATATTTTTTATTGACTTCAGAGAGGAACGGAGAGGGAGAGAGAGATAGAAACATCACTGATGAGAGAGAATCATTGATCGACTGCCTCCTGCACACCCCCTACTGGGGACTGAACCCACAACCCAGGCACGTGTCCTTGACCAGAATCGAACCTGGGACCCTTCAGTCTGCAGGCTGATGCTCTATGCACTGAGCCAAACCAGCTAGGGCTCAACAATTATTCTAGTCTTTTCTATTCTGCCCTACTCTGGGAGATAGAGGAGGAAAGGGGCTGTGGGAGGGGGTGGGTGGCCCACAATCACCTCACAATTGAGGG